GGCTGACGACCAGACGTAAGTTCCCACATAATCATGCCTAAACTGTATATGTCGGACTGTAATGAAAATGGTTCACCTTTTAAAATCTCGGGAGCAATATATGGTACAATTCCGTAAATTTCATGACAATTTAACCCTTTTATGGTTCGATGAAATCCCAAATCAATTTCAACCACAGGATTATGTTTTTCTTTTGTCATTAAAAAATTATCGCCATGTAAATGTCGGTGATTTGTCATTAACAAATTACCGCTATGTAAATTTTGGTGAATTATATTCCATCGGTGAATTGACATAATTCCTACTGTGACATTATTCAAAATCTCTCTTTTTTTAAGCCAAGTAATTTCCGTAAAGCTGACTTGCAAAAAAACTTTTAAGCAAACAGGTCTATATCTCATAACAAGGATATGATTCATAGTTGTAGGATCCTGTGAAATTCCGTAACATTGATTTGTGCGCCAATGCCTCTTTGAAAATAAGAATTTTAATATTGGCTATAAAATGTATCGATCATTGTAAATATAGATAATATGCAGTACTGTATCAAGAATTTGAATGACGATTTACTGTACCTCTTTTAAAAATTCAGAATCCAGATTTCGAGATTCATCGAGGATCCTCAGTGCTACTGCTTTTTCCATTTTTTTTAATTCAATTTTTCCTTTCTTATGCCTGATCGCTTTATAAACTTGACTCGATCTACCTTGACCAATTTTTTCTATATCCAAAAATTCCTCGTATGGTATCCATTTAGAAATAATTTTTTTTTGTACTAAATTCGCCAATGCACTTTCATGTTGACATTCCGAACCCAATTTAATTTGATACTCTGGTGTTTTTTTAACCCCGGGCGAATCAAATAGCGTTGTATTAATTTCTAAATCAACGGTATATGGTAAATAACATGTTAATATTGGTACTATGTGATATCGCATACAAAATAAATATTTTGTCTATAAATTGTAATACTGTATCAAGAACTCTTGAACTTAATGTAAATATTGATAACTATACTGTATACTGTAGCTATTGTAAATCCAACAACTTACTATAATGTATTGAACCTGGATGACAATCTTTCCTAAATGTGGCACCGTCTTTAATTATTTTCTGACGTTCTTCTTCGGCTTCTTTAAACTGTAGATTATAATCGCTCTTCCATTCTTCCATTATTCTCACGATTTCTTTTATTTCAGGTCGATTTGAAGGTTCTGAATCCCAACACCTGCGCATTAAATTTGCCCAACACTCGGGCGTATCTCTGGTAATTTCCGGCCTTAGTCCGTTGCATATGTCTACAATAAGATTTTCATCGTATGATCTATCCTTGAACGGTTGATTTCCAGACGAAAGTTCCCACATAATGATTCCTAGACTATATATATTGGATTGAACTGAAAGAAATACATTCTTTAATATTTCAGGCGCAACGTAAGGTATGACTCCGTAAATACTCGACTTTTCATTCATTGGAAATTCTAGATCATCGATTAACGGGAATGTTGAATTTAGTAATATATTGCCACTATGTAAATTCCGATGAATAAGATTCGCCTTTTTCATCGAATTTAAAGCCTCCACAATATTTTTCAAAAGGTCTCCCTTATCCAACCAAGTTATTTTACTAAAATGAGTTTGTAAATATTTCTTCAAATCGCCATTATCCGCATAACTTGTGACAAAAATATAATTTTTAGACACGGGATCTTGTGAAATTCCGTAAACATCAATAAAACGCTTTTTATGTTTCATTGGCATACTAATTCGATTTAAGAATTGTTGCTACAAAAATATTAGCAAAGAAATGGAGAATTATAAGCAAGGTTATAATGTTAAATACCTCTTTTAAAAATTCGGAGTTCATTTCCTGAGATTCATTGAGAACCTTTAATGTTACTGTTTCTGGTGGAAATCGAGTAAAATCACCATCTTTTCTATTCCAGGAGCGAAGGCGCCCTTTATTCCAAGTTGCCTTATAAATTTGACTAAATTCTCCATGCCCAATAATTTTAACGCTTGAAAACTCTTCGTACGGTATAAATTCCAATAAAGGATACCTTTTCCTTTCTGCAAATTTTCTTAGGAAATTGTCAATATCCTGGTTGCCACTTTTTCTCAGAAAAGACTCTCCAAAATAACAAAATCCACATATTTTTTTCTCTCCAAATTCATTTCCTTTCTTCGTCGTCTTCTGACAGCCTGGGCATATTATTTCTGCGCATGGGCGTCCTTTTTTAATAACTTCTTCCATTTATTTCGAATAGATATTGAGAAAAGGTAATAAGAAAGTATCTTTTATTTTACTTTTGTCTTATTTTATGACCTTTTAAATATTTTAGAATTTATTTATGAAGTGTACACACCGTATCCAAACAATAGGCTGACTCTGTAAAACGGCGTTCGGACCTTATTTAGAATGAATGAAATTGATTTACCAAATTTTTGATTATTACTACTGTATAACTTTTATAGGATAAATTGCGAGTTACGAATGGAAATTCTTTGTTTCCTCTTAAATTAACTTTAATAAGAATTTAGGTTTACAAGTGGCGTTTTTACGGGCTGCGCGAAAAAATTTAATATATACTGTGATTAGACTCGTACGAATTCCCAAACTACTTTTTTTCATTTCGTCATAATCAGGCATGTCATTCAAACCGAAATTAATGAACCTCATTGCAACTACTATTAATAAACACAATAACGTAACTTAAATGAATCACTACTATCCGTTTCAAGGATAGAGTCGAGTTCGGGTTTAAACTGATATCATTTGATAGAACAATAATCCGGGTTTAGGTCGGATTGATAATTAACTTATTTAGAAGTCTTATAATGACATAGTGGATCTGGCTGGTTATGAATAAAGTACTTGCTTTTTCTTTGCTATACTTTTCCGGTGATATTTATTTTTCTGCTAGAGATCATAAGCTTTGGTTTCTCTATCAGGCTCACTAACGAAGTTGCAAGTATTGTACATTGGACACTCGAGCAACTTAATAAGAGTTTTATTATTTAAGGTATAAAATTTATTAGTTACGATTGTCCGGAGCAAGACGAAGAACATTCAATGTTCAGGTACTAGGGATGATGAATTTTACATCTTTTTCGTTAACTTCGTCATTGAAGTCATACCTCGATGCAGTCACTTCCTACTTTACATTATATAATAAAAAGTTTCGAGCATAAAGCTCATATAATAAGACAATATATCTATGCCCTGGACCCCAACGTTTTCCGTTTTCTAGTGGCACTAACTTATACAGTGCTTTTTGTTTCATGTTTTCTCTCTTCCTAATTATATCTATGTTATTTTAAATCTTTCCCACTCATAATTTTTCATCTTAATTTCGTTCATTAAATTACATAACGCGATACAGTATTGCATTACCTCTGCACCCCACTTTCCTATAACATATACATCCCCGATATAGATGTATTAACGTGTGAATAAATATAATTTATTAGTTATAAAATTTAAATGTTTTTATAGATAGGCGCCAGTTTTTTATACTAAACTCCTCGTCACACCAGTTGAATATTTTCGACATTTTCTTTTGACTAATGCTACATATGGAAAAGAAAGTAACCATCAATGTTTTTTTTAAATAACCATGTTAGTTCTTTTGTATTTTCGAATAATTATTCATAGAAAATACCTGGTCTGAATCGTAATACGTATGATATTCTTGTGTTCCATAATTTGATAATATTATTAACCCGAATAAATTTATGAAATTTTTTGGCTCTGGAAGGCCTTCAAAGTTGAGATGTCTACTTGTATATATTGCGAAATGATTTACATATGCTACATTACAAGCCGAAGAAATTGACATCATATCTTCACTTTCTTTAATTTGCTTAGCAAACGTGGAATTCAATTTTCCCTTATAGTAACGCCATGAATCTAAAATATCACACAATTCATGTGCTTCAATCGGTTCTGTGATTTAGCATCCCAACATTTTTGCATTAAATAGATTACCAAATCAGGTAGGTTGCTTTGAATTTTAGGTCGGATTCCATTACAAATTTCTTCTGCCAAACCTTTATCATGTGGGGTTTCGTTAAAAGGAGGGATACCGGACAATATTTCAGACATAATAACTCCAAATGCATAGACATCTGCTGCCTTTGTATACTCTTTTCCACATAATACTTCGGGTGCTACATATGGAAGTACACCATACACTTTTCGCTCTTTGGTTTCACCTGTATTCGACAGATGGTTTAGACAGACCCAAATTAGTTATACAGTATAAGGCAAAAATTTGTTTGACAAAATAATATTTTCTGTGTGAATACTTTGATGAACTAATTCAGCTTCGTGCACTTGGCATATGCCTCTTGCAATTTGAAATAAAATATTAAACTTATCATTCCATGGCATTTTTTTAAGTTTAGATAGATTCTTTCTAATATTTCCGCGATCCATTAATTGCATAACAATCATTAAATTATTGGTTCCTTCATGTCGAGTAATTCCATAGCACCGTGTGATATGAGATTTGATGTTACTACAAATATAATTATTATTTATCTATATACGAATAATGGGTAAATGGACATATTTTTGTTAAGGAAAATAATATACTGTAATAAAATTACCTCATTTAAAAATTCGTTTGTTAAATTCTGTGAATCATTAAGGCATTTTAGTGCAACTTTTGTAATTCCCTTCCTTTTCCACTAATTTTCTTTTACATTCCAATAAAAAATATATCCATCACTCCATAATGCCGAGTATATTTTGCTAAAGCCCCCTTTAGCAACAAATTTCACATTCTCAAATTTTGAATACGGAATCCATTCAAAACTCTGTATCTGCTAGTTGCTGTTAAATGCAATAATTTATAAATACGTCAACGTTATTGTTTCCACTTTTCCAAGTATCAAATTCTTGTTGAAAATGAAAAGAATTGCATGGCTGACACCAATATCTGCCTGTTGTACTCTTGTAACACTGGTTACAATGTTCTCCTATAATCAAAATCCATTATATTGACAATAACAAATTACTGTACAGAAATATCCCAATTCAACCTACCAACTATTAAAAAGTAACAAAGTCTAATTTAATTTATGTGATTACTAAATAAGTATATACTGTATGTACTGTATCTTTTATTCAACTTACAATCTACAATAGCAAAAAAAGATGATACAATTAAATCTCATTTATGTTTAGAAAAAAACAATAGAGGCATCATATACTGTATCCACTAACCTATATAAGGTTAATGGTTAGTGCACATCAAGTTCATATTACTTCGAGAAAAATAACGACATTACAGTACTTACTTTCTACAATAGTAAAGAATAAGACGCAATTGACATGATTTACGAAACTAATAACAAGACCTTCTTGAATTCAACTTACGATCTATAATAAATTCAATTAAATCTTTTTTCATAGTATTTTACGAAATATCATGGATTAAACTTACTCCCTATAAAATTAACGGTTAATTGCATTTTTGGACAAAAAATGAAAATATTTTAAACTTACTCACAATCTATAATAGCAAAGAATAATATGAAATTGATGTGATTGTACGAACTTACCTTCTACGATAGCGAAGAAAAGATTTTAATTAAATCCTATTTCATAGTAATTTGCGAAAATATCAGACTATACTTACGGCCTTCAATGACAAAACATAAGTATAAAATTAAATAGTTTCATATAAAATTAAAGAAATAATAATAAATGACCTACCATCTACAATATAAAGAATACGAGTTTACCATATCTCTCGGTATTTTACAAAATATCACGGATTAAACTTACCAACTACATTAGAATATAAACGCAAATACAGTAAATCTCATTTTACAAAATAATATCCGGGTTTAACTTGTTTTCTATAACAATTAAAAATAAGGATAGAATTAAACCACATTCCAACTTACATTAAACAATAGTAAACAATAAAAATACATTAAATCTGATTTCAGATGATTTTACGAAAAAATAACAAAACACAGTATCTTGGATTAAGCTTACCAGCTACAATAGTAAAGAATAAGAACATAATCAGATTTCATTTAATATAATTTACATAACCAATACTAAAAACATACTGGGTCTAACATACAATATACAATAGTTAAGAATAAGAATACAATTAAAATTATTTCATATGATTTTAAAAGCAAACAACAAAAATATTCTGAATTCAGCTTACAATCTACAATAGCGAAGAATAAGAATACAATTAGATATTATTTCATATTATTTTACGAAACAAATAACAAAACTATTCTGGTTCAACTTATAATCTACATATGATAAAGAATAAGAATACGATTAAATCTTATTTCATATTATTTTACAGACCAAATAACGAAAATACTCCGGATTAAACATACCCGCTGCAATAGCGAAAGATAAGAATTATTAAATTTCATTAATATAATTTTACGAAATACAGTAAATAACAAGAATATCCTAGTTCCGACATATAGTAAAGAATAAAAATATGATTAATTCTGGATTCAACTTACAGTGGCCTACCATTATTTTGTGCACACCATTAATTTTTTCGATAACATATGATTTATAAAAATGTCTGATCGCTAGTGAAAGACATTTGTAAATGTGTGAGCGAAAAGATAGCAGTGCATATAGTGT